TTCTTCCGATTCCTCTTGGTCCTGGTGCTTTTCAACCTGGCGGCGGCTAACATCTGTCTCTTCATTGGCATCGTTTGCCGCGACGGCGGAGTGGCCAATTTGATCGGCAGCTTGGTGATGCTTTTCAGTCTGCTATTTGCCGGCCTGCTGCTTAATCACGATGCAATTCCCAAGTCTGCTCTGTGGCTGCAAACGGTACGTTCTCTGACCCCGCCCCTTTCCTTCATTCATTCCTTCATTCCTTTCTTTTTTCGATACGAAAATGCTAATGATCCTTCAGCTGTCCATCTTCCATTACGGCTTCGAGGCTCTGATTGTCAACGAGGTTACATTCCTGACCCTCATCGATCATAAGTACGGACTAGACATCGAAGTTCCAGGAGCCTCTATTCTGAGCGCATTCGGATTCGACACGCTCGCCTTGTGGACGGACGTGATCGGACTGGCCATCATCTCGGGGGCGTTTATTGTGATTGCCTACGCTGCTATGCATCTGTTGTTGGTCGAGAAGCGGTGAATGAATTGGATCGCCAAATGTAGTGTATATACGCCGTCCCAAGGACCTTTGTGCTATTATTATGTTTTTGTTTGTTTGTCATTTTCTCGCATAACATTTGCCAAGTTCCCTGACGGTAACAGCTGTGCGAATGCCACCCAATAATGTGTGTTTTGGTAATGCAATTAATGACAAGATCGAGATGTCACTTGGGATGCCTCAGGAATGTGTTGGTGCGGAGAGCACGTGCACACGTCATCGTTTCATCGCGGATCGAATTCCATCCACAGCAGAAGCATCTGCGGAATCCATCTGCTTATGCTGTACTGAGTGACCAGGAAAACGACCGATCAAACCCGCCACCCAGGAATAACTAGTCATTAGCTTCTCTCCCCCATAGTAGCCTGTCCCGCTGCGGTGGCTGGGGGGCGGATCGACCTCGAGGGCTCCGATCGGTGTCTACACAACCTACACAGTGTCTGGACATTCGATCGCTTTCCATGTCTTTCTATATCCTGCCTGTAGTCCGTAGTCCGTAGTCCAGAAGGTATACTACTACTACAGAGTAGTGTGCACCACGTGAAGTGGTCGAGGGGTGGAAGATCGTGACATCTTCGCCGCGGCTCTCACCGCCTTGGGATTCACACCAACTTTGCTGCTCCTCTTCTGCTTCTCTCGCTCTCTCGCTTCCTCTCCCTCTCCTCTCTCCATCTTTCTCCCTCTCTTTCTCCGTTTCCGAGCTTTGCTCTCCTTGTTCCCGTCTCCCTGCTCCTTGGGTATCTTCCTTCATTTTCTCCTCTTCCTCTATCAGTTTCCCAATACATCCCTCCGAGTTTACAATTTTTCTTCCCACCATGTCCGGTGAAGCGTGGCTCTACCTGTTGGCGGTGTTGATCAACGCCGTCAACCTGTTCTTGCAAGTGTTCTTCACTATTATGTACAGCGATCTTGAATGGTAAGTTCCCCCTGCATTCCGCCTCTTCTAAATCCTGGCATTCTGTGGCCGCGTGTTTTTGCGCCGCAATCGGCCACTGGCACTCGATTGCGCCGGAGTGATAAGTTAGCGAGCTAAGCTAACCCGGTCCTCCCAACCACAGCGATTACATCAACCCTATCGACCTCTGCAACCGTCTCAACGCCTACATTGTGCCCGAAGCCGCCGTTCATGGATTTCTGACCTTCCTCTTCGTGATCAATGGCTACTGGCTGGCGATCGTGCTGAACCTGCCTCTGTTGGCCTTCAACGCCAAGAAGTACGTTTTGTTCGACGGACACCCCGACCTCCCTGCGGGTGATGGATAGTTGGCTAACCAGACGTGTGTCGGGTAGGATCTACGATAACCAGCACTTGCTGGATGCGACCGAGATCTTCCGCAAGCTGAATGTGCACAAGAAGGTCAGTCTGCACCCGGGTTTACGTCATACCGACAGGGAACGGCTCGCTAACCTGTTGCACAGGAATCCTTCATCAAACTGGGTTTCCACCTGCTGATGTTCTTCTTCTACCTGTACAGCATGATCGTCGCCCTGATCCGCGACGAATCCCACTGACTTCGCGGCGAGACGGGACATACGATGCGCGGTGGGCGTCCCGGCGGACGTGTCGCGTGATGTGCTGCAGGTCGATCCTGTCGTGGGGGAAGAGAAAGGATTCGACAACGGTTCCATCTGGCTTTTTGAGACTCCGTAACCGTCTACCACTGTGGCCATCTCAGCAATGGGAGCTTCTCCCGTAGATCGATCGTTGGGGCCGCGTGGACTGGCCGGAGTATGTAGCAATAGGAGCAACTGGAACGGCATGTTGGAGATTGCGCCTTTTTTGGTTTGGGATACTAATGATGATTGCTGGAGATTGAAACACGACATTATTCACGATGGCGTGGCATGGATGTTTATTGCGTGTCCCTGTTTGATTGATCTGTTCTATTTCATGTTGATGTCTTAATGTGTGCTGTATATACCTCTAGCGGTGTGACAAACGATGAGCGTACGATACCCTCGATGTGCAGTGACCATAAGATAGAAATGTAGACTCGAATGACAGTATTTCATGAGTAAACTGGAATCGGTCTCATGGGGTAGACATTATCTAGTTCTGGTGTGAAACTGCGGGATCTTCGCAACGGGGCGGTGTCGCCGCCCGTAAAATTGCCGGACTTGTATTCTTCTTCCTTCCCTTCCAACTCTCTTCCTCAATTCTCCCCGATATCCCCCCATCCACCATGGCTTCGTTACTAGGTGCCGGTTACGATTCCAGTGATGATGATTCGACACCCCAGATCCAGGGTGTTGCCCCCTCGGCGACCAAGATTGTCGCTGCTCCAGAAGTGAACACAGAGGTTTGGTCCCTCCAGCTTTTCCTAGCTCACACTTCCCTTGACATTTGCATTTTCCTTGCCCAATCGACCTTTAATGTTCACCGGTATCTAACAATCTTACAGGACCAGGCGCACCTGCAGATGATGCTGGCTAACACCTCGTCAACGGCCCTCACCTACAACGCAACCTACGATGACCTCGCGCGGCCTACGCAAGGTCCCTCCAACCCTTTCAAACCCGACGGGCCTGCCAACGGCCTCAAGCGTAAAAACGTACCGACGGGATTCGCCGAGGAGGCCGCCATTAGCGAGGCCACCTTCGCGGCGCAACATCGCACGTTCCAGAGTCTAGGGTACTCGCGCAACCCGACGCTCCCCGAGCAGTTTGTCGGCAATCTCGACCAGGCCGCACAGTTTGGCGGTCGGGATGTCATTCAGATGAAACCGTCCAAGGAGACGTCGGCCGCGCTACGAGCGAAGCGACAGAGAAAGGGAGATCCGAGCATTGTCGAGGGTGCGGGCGCATATCTCGGACCGTGGGCGAAATATCAGGATGATGACCACGTGTACGACGAGGAGGTCGCACTGGCGGACCAGGAACTCGCCAGCGACGAAGAATACGTGGAGGAGATCGCGCCGTCGAAGATGCCCGCCATGAGCAAGGAGGCGACGGATTACCAGAACGATTCCTCCCGGGTGGAAACGACCGAGTTCCACGGCACCGAGCAGTTCGACTACATGGGCCGCACGTATATGCACGTCCCGCAGGACCTGGATATCGATCTGAAGAAGGACGTGGGCAGCATCAAAAACTACGTGCCCAAGAAACTCATCCACACCTGGAAGTCCCACACCAAGGCCATCACGTCGCTGCGGTTCATCCCCAACTCCGGTCACCTGCTCTTGTCGGCCGCGGCGGACGGCAAGGCCAAGCTCTGGGACGCGTACCACCAGCGCGAACTGCTGCGCACCTTCTCGGGCCACAGCAAGGCCATCACCGACACCGACTTCCACCCGTCAGGGAAGACCTTCCTCACGGCCTCCTACGACCGCCAGATCAAGCTCTGGGACACCGAGTACGGGAAATGCCTGGGCCGCTTCTCGACGGGCAAGACGCCGCACGTCGTCCGCTTCAACCCCAACCCCGACCTCTCGCACGAGTTCCTGGCCGGTATGTCCGACAAGAAGATCGTGCAATTCGACACGCGCTCGGGCGAACTGGTTCAAGAATACGACCACCACCTGGCAGCCATCAACACCATCACCTTCGTCGACGAAAACCGACGCTTCATCTCCACCTCGGACGACAAGTCCCTACGCGCCTGGGAATACGGCATTCCGGTGCCAATCAAATTCATCGCCGAGCCGTACATGTTCGCGCTCACGCGCGCCACCCCGCACCCGAACGGCAAATACGTCGCCTTCCAGTCCGGCGACAACCAGATCGTCGTGTACGGCGCGACCGACAAGTTCCGACAGAACCGCAAAAAGAGCTTCCGGGGCCACAACAACGCTGGCTACGCCATCGATCTCAAGATCTCGCCCGATGGCCAGTTCATCTCCTCCGGCGACAGCGGCGGCTACGTCTGCTTCTGGGACTGGAAGACCGGCAAGATGTATCATAAGATCATGGCCGGTGGTAAGGAGGGCGGTGCGACGACTTGTTTGGATTGGCATCCTCAAGAAACTAGTAAGCTGGTGACGGGTGGGTTGGATGGGTTGATTAAATACTGGGATTAATTGGCTTGGTTGGCGATGAAGGTATCTCAATCAAACTTGTCCTTTTATTCTTTTCTTTTCTTTTCCTTTTTCCTCGTTACGATATCTTTGATTAGATACTATAAACCACCCATCGAGGTATGTGGATTTGGGCGTCTAAATGTATGGCTTTGTAAATTGATATAAAATAGAATGTGGATATCTTCTTTCGGCATAAAACATCATATAACGATACGAGGGAAGGTCCTTGCTTCGAAAAGTCCATGCACACTGCTTGACCTACTCCAGGTCCGCTCAAAAGCCCAGAACAAGCGATACCATATGACGTGGGTGCACGAAACATAAACTTTGTTTTGATTTATGAATATCAATCTCCCTTATTCGATATTAACTAAGTATTACTGTACAAATATCCCCAAGTTCTTCCAGAAAGATCAGTCAAACCAGGAGGCACCATACCCAGTTAATTAAAAGCTGGCCATTTCGATCCAGCTGGCGACAAAGGCTAACCGACGACCTCGATCGGCTCCCATGCGCCGCGAGAACTCATCAAAGTTCAGTTTGGCACCGCTGCCGCCGCGCAGGTGCGCTTGGCGCTCGATATAGTTCAGGTACGCCCACCGGGACAGTGTCAGTTGGGAGGGGGGTTGCGTAGGTCCGGTTCGGTGGGGAGGTGATGGACTGGCAGTGGGTGGGAGGGGATGGATGGGCGAGGGAGAGTGTTTAGGCGCAGTGGCCTCGGCTTCGGGCGAGAACGCGGCCAGAGAAGCAGGTGCTGACGAGGTTCCGAAGAAAGAGGTCGGGCCCTGGGGTGGGAAGCGCAGCTCGGGGGGAAGGTTGTGCTGCTGAGCGTCGTCAAAGATGGTGTGCACCGAGGATGAGTAGGAGCCCGAGTCATAGGCATGCAGAGTGTCCTCGTTCGGACGGTGGTGCGGCAGCGTAGGATCGAAATCCGTGTCCACGACGGCAGGTTGTCTACCTTCCATTGTCAAAGAGCCTGGTGGGAGGGTAGCTGGGGGAATCGCCAATTCGTTGGCTTGCATCTCGAGCGGGTTCGAGACCACAAGTCGATCGGCGTCCTCGCTCTCTGCATCCTCTTCGTCGTCGTCGTCGTCGTCGTCGTCCTCTCCTTCTTCCACCTCGTCAGGCTGGGCGAGGTCTGTCGGTCGTACGTCGTCATCCGGTAGTCGCAACTCGGGGGACCGGGGAGCGAAGATGGGGCTGTCTCGCAGAGGCTGGAGAGGGGGGCTGCGGATCGAATATCCCGCACGGTCGAGGAGCTCCTCCAGTGGTCGGTCGCTGAATGGATTCTTCTCATCGTCTTCGGTTTCCTTGATCTCCTCGTCCACCTTCTGCTTCTCTTCCCGCTTCAACATCTGGTCAAATTGATTTTCAGGACGCTGCGCGGCGAGCTCGATCTCTCGGGCCCAGAACTTGCGCTCCACGCGGGTGTTGTATGCTTCCATGAGCAGGTCTTCCTTGGGTTTGAAGAGAATATCCAGTAACTCGTTGAAGCCTTGCTGGGTGACTTGGTAGAGGATCTCCTTTCCTACATCCTTTTCGACCTCGGGAACTTCGAACCCTCCCCACCTCTCACCAACCAATATGCTCCGTGAGGACGTGGACGGATTGGATCTCACATCGTAGTCGTCTGTAAGATCGTCCTGGAAGCGGACTTTGGATGATGATCGAGATCGCGGGGACGGTGGGTGAGATTCAAAATGATCATCGAGCGCCTCCTCGTCAGACAATCGTTCGGCATCCGGGTCGGTTTCGTAGCCCTCTGGAGCCGCTGCCCCGTCTTCTTCGTCGGTATAGAACGCTCGTCGTCGCCACCGCTCATCGATGCCGTGCCGGCGGACATCGTTCACTTGTCGCTGGTCATCATCGTACATCCGGTTGTACACGGCCGTGTCGATGCGAGCTCTGTCGACCGGGTCGGTGACTTCTTCGAGGGGAACAGGCGCCCCAAGAGCTCGGACCACATCTTCTTCAAGGATGTGCTCAGCGGGAGGCCAGCGGTCCGTGGCCACGGACGAGCTGGACGCATCGTCGGAACTGCCATCATCACCATGATCGAAAGTTTCACTCCTTCTCACCGCGGCGCGGGGCCCAGTAGGCGTCGATAGCCGTACAGACGGAAACAACGGGCGCACGTTGCCGAACCTGTTTCGAACGGCAGAGTCCCCGACGACAGAGTGGCGATTCCCGGTGTCCGTGCCATCCGGTCGTAGCACGCCCTCGCTGTCGACAATATCCATATCCCCTTCCAAGTTCATACGCTTTCCTTCTCCAGTTCGAGACGCTTCGCCCGAGGGGATGTTGCCAGGGAACGCGGAACTGATGGGCTGCATACCTAGCACGACGTCTCGAGCGCCGCCTTCCAGGAAGTCATCTTCCATCCCTGCGACCATGTCCCGGGTCAGCTCTCGGCTGAGGGTGTAGTAGGCACGGAAAACCCGCAAGAAATCCTTTCTTTCGACGTAACCGTCGCCATCGATATCGTAGCCACGGAAAACGCGGCGCATCCGTTCATCAATACTCTTGTTATTAAGACTGGCGAGACCTGTGAGGAATTCTTCAAAGCCAATAAGGCCATCGCCATTGGTATCGTAAAATGCAAACATCCGGTCATAGATGAGACTAGGTGGGGGAGGGCGGATCGAGGTGTTCGGAACAAAACACCGGTCAAATGTCTTGCGGTCGATCGCCATGCAGAGTTTGTTTGGATCATCGATCCATTCATGATTTGCGAGGCAACGAAACTGGTCCCAGAGTGCATCCAGTTCCGTGTTTTCCAGGCTGGTCTCCTTCATCAGACGCTTTGCCAGAGAACGAGGCAGGCTGCGCGGGAGCATGGATGGCTTGCCGGGGTACCAGACGGGCTGGGACTGCCGCGGGTTCCCCAAGAACGGTGCTGGAATGCGCACCTTGTAGAATAGATGGGTCTTAATATGTACTTGCATGGCCTCACATGTCTCGCAGAGGTCGTAGTCGATGCAGTTCGCGCAGCGATACCGAATGCCTTGGATGGGCATGGCTCCGCAGCTGTTACACGTCACCCCTCTGTGGATATACCCATCCCTCCGGGCCTGGTCCTCCGCAATGTGGTACAGTAGATTGAGCAAGTTCTGGCCCTCGCGTGTCGGTGAAGTCTCGTTGTTGCCGTCGCGCCACGAAAAAACGCTCTGATCATCGACCACCGTCTCGCCGCCATCCATGTTTATCGCCGGCGACGATTCATCCGGGAAGGTCGACGTGGATAATGTGACTCGCTCGCCATTCTGCCGACGCCGTCGCAGTTCCTCTCCGTAATTGCTGTCCTCGTTAAACCGGGTCAATGCCCGCTCGATACCGGCGCGCGAGATCCCTCGCTGTTGCAGCTGCTCGGTCAAGTATTCCCGCTCCGGAGTTCCGTCAGTCAACGTATGTGTCGGTGGGAAGTCCAGCGCCAGAAAGGACTCCAAGAATGTGTCTTCCATCATTTCGCGCATCCGCTCGGCATGCGCTTCAGGGACCCCGACTTCCTCCATCAGCTGGTCCCGTGTTGCCAGTAGCGACGGGAGCAGTCCGCTTTCCACACGACGTCCATCTTCAGTTTCTATGCGGAATGTGCCATAGACCCCATTTTGACGTTCCAGTTGTTCCAGATGGGCAATCGCCCGGGAGGAGGGCGTTTCGACGGCCGCGGGTTGTTCGGGCTCATTGCGTCTCGAGCGGCGAACGGCTCTCCGGCGGCGAAGAGATGACTGCGACGATGAAGATGACAAAAGCTGATTGTTCACATAGACCAGAGCGTATGCGGCTACAACCCCCGTGAGCAGGTAGAGGACCGGGCGATATCGTGATAAGTCCGGCTGAGAGTGAGATTCCGACATGGCAGTCCAAGGTTGTGCGCCAACTAGGGAACAGAGCTCATTCTTATTATCGAACTCTCATGTAGGACTCGCGAGGCAGGGAATTCGGAGGCTCGCTAATTATGAAAAAGAAGGCCCTTGGGAAGGAGGGGTGGTGTCAGAGATGGGAGAAGCTGAAGCTGTCATTATTCTCTCCCGCAAGAGGAAGGCGGCCGGGCTCCGGCTCGACCGCCTTCTCGCCGCGCTGATCGTCGACTCGACTATCTCTCTACGATGTATCCTCTACGACCAGATGGCAGAACATGTCACAATACTTTTATTCAATTGACTAAATGCATCGCAAATAAAAATCCAGTCACTTGGTATATCTCGGGAAAACACATCTATAGCCAGATGCAGAGCAAGACGCTAATCCTCGAAATCGAAATTGTATATACTCTTTTCTGTTGCTTTTGTCTCTGTTGCTTTTATGTGCAGTATACTCGAAGCATTTTAATGCATGGTATAAACCTGTGTTAGCAAGTTTACACAACCCCTTCAAATAACTATAACTCATCGACTTAGTTTCTTCTCACGAATGAAGAAGCTGCTGACGAAGGCAAAGAACACGATGCCAATCAAGAGAGAAAACCCCGTGTTCGTTGCCCATCCGTAACAGCTGCGAACAACCTTTGCAACGGCCGGGTCAAGAGTCTTGATGAAATCGAGACTCTGACGCACGCCCTCGACAATACGATCGATGTCTTCGCTGTCGCGCAAGGCGTATCTCAGTCGGCTGCGCAGGACTTGCTGTACCACTGTGGAGGACAGGGACAGCCCAATCACTGATCCCAGAGATCGGAACAGGTACGAACAGGCAGTGACCACTGCCTGATCCTCGGGTGTCGAGTTGGATACTGCAGGACCGGTTAGAAGATGCGGAGACCTGCATACTGAAAGGGCGACCTACTCAGACTGATCAGAGTGGTTGTGACACCGATGCCATTACCAAAGGATTGAACCATTGTTCCTATAATCATAGCAACGAGGTTCTCGACAACTCCTCCTGAGAACAGGAAGATCAGTGTCACTCCCAAAGTCAGAAACGCATACGCAGTCACGGTAAGCCAATAAAACTTCCCAGTCCATTTCATCAAGAACCCAGCAAATAGCGAACCAGAAACTCCAGTAAGGATACTCGGCAGGAGCCGTAATCCAGAAGCAGTGGCCGAGACGCCATCGACGGCCTGGAAATACAGCGGGATGTAAAACAGACACGCGATAATGCCGCCGAAACTGAAGAAGTTACAGCAGTAGGCGGCAAAGAATGTGCGGTCAAAGATAATGTGCCCGGGGGCGAAGGGCTCCCGGGCGTAGTAGATCTCAATCACGAGGAAGAGCACAAAGAGAACCGCCGATACGCTCAGAGAAATAATGGTGATAGGCAGAGACCACGATACATTACTGCCTCGATCAAGACCAAGCAGAAAGCTGAAAACCGCCCCAACGAGGACGATCGCGCCGGGGAAGTCAATGCGCTGGAGTTTAGTCTTCCAGTGAGTGTCTTCCTGCGAAGGCAGATCTAGCATGATAGACACAGCGATGAAAGCAATTATGCAAAGTGGAACCTGAGCAATAAAGGCCCTAATTTGGGGGTTAGTGATCGCGCAATCGTCGCGCTAGATGAGGAAATGAAGCACATACCATCGCCAACCGACATAATCGGCTAAGACTCCACCTAGACAAAAAATGAGTCAGTTGGGTTGGCCCTTATATCAACAGTAAAACTCTTCCGTACCTAGGGGTGCGCCGATTCCTGATCCACTTGCGTAGATGATGTTGACGACTCCCTGCCACACTCCCCGATCTCGGAGGGGAACAAGATCGCTCATGAGAATGCTGACCACGGTAGTCATGCCACCGCCTCCAATACCTTGGAAAACCTAAGACAATGTAAGCGTAGTCGAGATGAAGTTCTTTCAAACGAGCATACACGAGCAGCAATCAGATGATGAATGTTCTGTGCCAGACCGCAGAACAAACAGCCCGTGCCGAAGATGGCATACGCCGACAACAAACAGGCCTTCCGGCCGAAGATATCGCTCAATTTACCGTATAGAGGTTGAAAAGATGTGAGAGTCAAGAAATATGACGTCGCGATCCAACTGGTCAAATTGAGCGCTTGGAGATCACTCCCAATTTGACCGTAACTGGCCATGATAATCGTCTGGTCGGCTGCCGACAAGAAAATCTAGTCATAACTTTCAGTATTTTCCAACACAGAGGCCATAGGGACATACAAGGTCATACCCCAAGTGAGACCGCAGGGACAATGTATGCGAGCTTGTTTTTGTTCTCAGCGGCATCCTTGTTTTGTGCATCGGACTGTGTTGCGGACTCGGGATCCCTGGGGATTGCCCCGGTCGAGGGAGGCTGACCAGCATTGCCGTTGCTTTGAGGCCCCAGCAATGGGGAAGTCTCTGTGGGAGACCTTTCTGGAGACATGCTGTCGACACACTCACTCAAACTCCAGCACTACCATCCAAGGCCTAGAGGAATAGTGATCAGGATGAGAAGAGTAGATTCAGCAGAAGGAAGATGACTCCGCTGTGCCTTATCGTACACGTGATGATAAGAATCCCCACCTGGCTGACAAACCCGGAAGAGATGGAAATCCTTCATTGCTGATTGGCTGCTTCGGCTGTTCGGCCCCTCGCTCGGCAGGGCACTAGCCCGTTTCGGGAGCCCGAGTCCATGCGGGATTTGTATGAGATTGAATCATTGGCTCCGCTCGACGGAGTAGGTCAGTGCGCTTTTTATAGACCTCTGAGGACTGTCCATGGGATAAAGAGCTTGTTTTGAAAATCTCGACCTCTCGCTATGATGCAATACTACGTTTCGAATACAAAGGCGAATGGAAAACCCGTCCAAGATTTTATCCAATCAATACTCCAACCAGGCATAAACAGTCGTTAGTTAGCACTCTATCCAGCCGAATCTAATCACACGCTATCAAATAAGGAGGATCACGCCTCGGTCTTCGAGGCCTCATCAACGACGGGCATAGGGATGGGACCGCCGGGCGAGTTTTCCAAACGCGCCGTCAGAACCTCAACGCCGTCTTCCGTCACCAGAAGGGTGTGCTCGAATTGCGCAGAGAGCGACCCGTCGGCCGTGGTGCTGGTCCAGTCGTCGGGCCACGTGCGATCCCGGTGAGTTCCGATGTTGATCATCGGCTCAATCGTGAAGCACATGCCGGGTTTGGCGGTACCCACGGCCTTGTTCTTACCGTAGTGGGGAACGTTGGGCGCGCAGTGGAACAGCTGGTTGATACCGTGACCGCAGTAGCTCTTGACCACACTGCAGTTGCGGCTCTTCGCATGCTTCTCAATCACATTTCCGGGGTCCCGGAATAGCATGCCGGGCTTCACCAAATCGATCGATTTATCCAAGCACTCTCGCGACGTCTCGACGACGCGAACGGCGTCCGGGTTCGCTCGGGCCTTGTCTCCGACATAGTAGGTTTCGTTCAGATCGCCGTGGTAGCCGTTGTGGTACAGGGTCACATCGATGTTGATAATATCGCCGTCCTCCAGAGGGCGTTGATCGGGAATGCCGTGGCAGATCGTCTCGTTGATCGAGGTGCAGACGGACTTGGGGAAATGCATGTAATTCAAGGGCGACGGGTAGGACTGGATCCTTCAGTATCCCGTCATGTTTCGACTATGGGAGACTTACCTCGCGTTCGATGCAGGCCTTGTGCACCACCTCGTCCAGGTAGTCGGTGGTGACGCCGGGCTTCAATTCCGCAGCAGCGATATCCAAAACCTCACGAGCTAGGCGGCAGACCTTCCGCATTCCCTCCTGCTGGTCCTTGTTCAAGATCGTGATATTCCGCTGGCCCAGGAATTTCTGCTCCGAGCGAGGGATGCCGTCCTTGGCATAGTCGGGATGAGGGATCGTTTTGGGGATCGTTCTCGTGGTCGACAAGGGGTAAACGGGTCTCAAAGATCCGGCGAAGGGATAGGATGGGAAAGGGTTGAATTGCCCCGTTGCTGGATCTGGTTCAGAAACTACCTTTGGAGGGAACAGGTTGGTGAGGAAATTACTCTTCGATTTGTGGAGGGTCTTGTGCTCGCCCTGGATTGTCGGCGGTTAGCAAGGACTCGGAAGAAGCTCACGGGGGACACACGTGAGCCCCAATGGTCACGCAAGGCAGCCTACCCAGCTCCGCTTGAAACAGTCTTGCGAACAAAAGAAGCTCTCGTTGCCCATCTTGAGACATGTCGGACACTGGAGAGTGCCGGCATTCTTCTCGCATTCCACCCCCATACATTTCCGCGACGCAACTTCAGCTGTCATGGTGAGACTGTCTCAGGTGGGAAGTAATCGATCGAGTAGAGTCAAGAAAGGGCGGAAAGTTGCGAATAGAGGGAAAAAAACTAAAGAACTCCTCGCGCTGGCACGATTACCCATGGGCTAACCACAACTAGGTTAGTGCCATCGCCCAAGGGGGCTTAGTGTCGTTGTCTTATCGCGCTTAGCGTACGGGAATGGTGTTATCGCGGATCCAGAGGCGCGCGTCAATTACCACGTGATTCTGCGGCAGCCAAATCCGGCTGGTTGGGATGATAATGCACGCTAAGCGGAATCAGGAATCCGGTGGGGCGGCGGGCGTGACGCAACTTTATCGATCTCTCGTGACTCGAAAACTTCTGGGGATTTATGATCTCTTCCATTCTTTAGCGACTGTTGTTTGACGCAAGGGGCAGCCCCTTACCTAATCTTCAATTCACTGCCGCAAGCACAATGGCACGGTGTTCGTCGAGAAAACAAAAGGTCGTCATCGTCGGAGCGGGGCCGGTAGGCTCGCTTGCGGCACTCTACGCTGCGGCGAGAGGCGACGACGTTGATTTATATGAACTGCGAGGGGGTAAGTCTCCCTCTGGACTTGATGCAAGTTCATGTCTTTGGCTGCACTGCATTTAATTGTCAGTTTGCATATGTTGCGACCAATCATTCAGCATTTTGACTCTGCCATG